TGCAAATGCCCCTTTGCATAAAACTCAATTGTTATGGTAAAGACAGACATTTTATTCATAGGTTATGTGCTAGTCATATTTATTTCAGAACCGTGCTTCCTGAGATTATTCCCATGATTCAAGAAATCATGAAATGACTCAGATCAGCAAGTGAATTCAGCATTTTCTAGTAAATAAAGTTTCATCATATCTATGGCCCAGTTATACCTTCAGCACTTAAAAAAAAGCCCTCCCATCTAGATGGCATTTGTATTGTAGAATATTTGAAGTCATTACTACAGAATTTGCTACAAGAGGGTCCATTTAATTGGTTCCACAAAAAACGTCAGCATTCAAAACCCTGTCGTGAAATGTGGACCTGGGACCACTAGGAAGGGACATAGAGCTGAGTCCTGGCACTGACTTGACCTTGTCATGACCTTGCCTTGCTCATGTCAAGCAGTTCTTCAGGTGCCTTCACTTAAAGCTCAGTGCCAGTTCACATGAAGTAGAGGGGCCGGATACCAGCCACACTGAGTTCTGTTACATATGGTTATTTCAGATTCTAAACCTCTTGCTAAAAGAACATGAGTGTGATGTTATGATTTTATAGATAAAAACAATTTTTTGATGAAATGAGTGGGATTCTTCTGATTAATATGTTGTTATTGCTTCAGCAAATGAACCTATCCAGTAAGTTGCTAAAGATTCCCAGGGCTCATTGAAGCTTAAAGCTCCTTCAGTTATCGGGATTTAAATAAAAGTCTGTAATATAATTCATTTTGTTGACAGGCAGGCTAGTGATTAAAAGTGTAGGTTATAATAAAGCATTTCTGAAAACTGAAGGTGTTCAGCAGTTGATTTGCAGATGGTTCATTTATTCATTCATATATTTAGCAAATATGTGTCTATAAGTGTCTTTTATGTGTTAGGCATTGTTGGAGGAGTTGAGGATACAATAGAGACAGAACCTTGCTCTTGGAGAATTTCACAAAGGTGGACAGTGCACATATTACCAATTATGTGATGTCATGTAGTGATAACTGCTAAGAAGAAAAATAAAGCTGTGTAAGAGGACAGAAGGAAGGAAGCTGTGGGCTTCCCTGGTGGCCCAGACTGTAAAGCATCTGCCTACAGTCCTGGAGACCCAGGTTCGATCCCTGGGTCGGGAAGGCCCCCTGGAGAAGGAGTGGCAACCCACTCCAGTACTCTTGCCTAGAAAATCCTATGGGCAGAGGAGCCTAGTAGGCTACTGTCCATGGGGTCACAAAGAGTCAGACACGACTGAATGACTCAAGAGGACAGAACGGCAAGGGTGTGTATGGGGGTGGGAGCAGGTTCCATTTCAAATAGGACAGTAAAGGAAGGACTGTGATAATTTCAGCATAAGGCTGAAGGAGAGACCTAGCCAGGTGATTCTCTGAGGGATGGGTGTGTTAGGCAGTAGGAAGGATGCTTCAGAACCCCTGGAGATGATCCTGTTGGTTTATTCAAGGAGCAGTGAAGAGAGGCTAGGCTTGGAACAAAGTGTAAGTGAAGAATGGCAGGTGAGAAGAGAAGAGCTAGTGAACCAGTTTTGTAGGGTCCTGGAGGCCAAGAGCTACAATTGAGGTGTTCAGATCTTATTCCGGGTGAGATAAAAAGCTATTGGGAGGTTTTTTGGCTTCTTTGTGAACAGATAAGAGTAGAAGTAGGGAACCCACCTAGGAGGATATTGGAATAGACCAGGAAGAAGATGGTGTTATTGGATCCAGGTTGTTGGAGTAGATGTGAGAAGTGGTGGATGTATTCTGATGGTAGAGCCGATAGGATCTCTTGACATTAAATATTTTTGAGGATATTCAAGGATAACTCCAAGGTTTCTTGCCAAGATGATTGGAATGGGCTTCCCTGGTAGCTTAGTGGTAAAGAATCTGCCTGCCAGTGCAGGAGATACAGGTTCAATCCCTGATCCAGGAAGATCCCACATGCTTTGGAACAACTAAACCTACGCACCACAACTACTGAGCCTGTGCTCCAGAGCCTGGGGTCTGCAGCCTCTGAACCCACGTGCTACAGCTACGGAAGCCCACACGCCCTAGCACTTGGGCTCTGCAACGAGAAACGCCACTGCAACGAGAAGCTCTTGTGCCACAACTGGAGAGTAGCCCCCACTCACTGCATCTTGAGAAAGTCTGCGTAGAACAAAGACCCAGCATAGCCAAAATAAAGTAAATAAAATTAATTAAAAACAACTGGAAGGTTGGAAGAGTCATATATGCTCAAGATTGATAAGAGAATGACCACATTTGCGTGAAGCACCTCAAGAGCTGTGTTCTGGAAGTGTTGCATTTCAGATTTCTGTTAGTCACTAAGTAAAGATGGTACACAGCCAGTGAGATAGATGAGTCTGGAATTTACGCTGTGGTCAGAGCTTAAAATATAAATTTGGGAATTTAGGATATGCAACTAGATGGAATCATCTAAGGACTATATTTGGAGAAGGAAATGGCAAACCTGCTCCGTTTTTCTTGCCTGGAGAATTCCATGGACAGAGGAGCCTGGCAGGTTACAGTCCATGGAGTTGCACAGAGTCGGACACCCCTGGGTGACTGAACACAGCCTAAGGAGTATCTTAGAGAAGAGGTCCCAGCCTGAAATTTGGGCACTCCAAAATTTAGAGGTTGAGAAGATGAAGAAGATCCAGCAAACAAGATGGAGAAGGAACAGCCAATAAAGCAGGAGAACCTGAAATAGTTTCAGCTTTATATATATTTTCCTTCTAAATCTGATAAGCTAATTTCTGAATCTAAAATGAGACTGTTAATTGAGATGGCAGTATTTATATATATGAGATACTTCCAAGAGCAGAATGGTCAAGAACAGAAACATTGCTGTTCTTTCTTCCTCACTCCCTTTCCCGTCTGCAAACTATCCTCTAGATGGTTTTTAATTGTTTTCTGTCATAAAAGTTACATGAGAAATTGAGGTTAGTTAGACATATAACATGCCTTCAAGAGGCTTACAAGAGATAAGAAGTGTACACAAATAAATATAATCTCAGACTTCCCTCAAGGAACTGGTGTGCTTCTTGTGCTAATGAGAATTGTGTGTTTTTGTGTAGCCTTTTTGGCTTTCTGCTACCAAGAAACCTAGGGAGAAATTTGATGCTCAGTCTATATTGATTATGTTAAAAATTGAGGTTGATATACTTACATTCTGCTTTCTTTGTTCTTAATTTCTACTTTTATTTGCGTTATCTCATGATAACACAGGCTTCCCAGGTGGCGCTAGTTATAAAGAATCTGTCTGCCATTGCAGGAGACCAAGGGATATAGGTTTGAACCCTGGGTTGGGAAGACCCCCTGGAAGAGGAAATGGCAACCCACTCCAGTATTCTTGCCTGGAGAATCCCATGAACAGAGGAGCCTGGGGGTTTATAGTCCATGGGGTCACAGAGAGTCAAACATGACTGAGTGACTAATCACAGTAAGCACATGATTATAAGCTGTCTCAAATCCTCTTGGAATGAGTAGTGATATTAAGAAAGAAATAACTGTCTGGGCTGTGAAAGTTAAAAAGACAAATAAATTACTTTCTTTGTCATCATTCTGCCATGAAAAATTTTCCTATCAAATTTCTTAACTTTCATTTAAGTTATGTCTGTTACATATGAATATTTTAGGAAGAAGCTAGCTGAAGCATATGTGTGTGCTCAGTCGCATCTGACCTTTTGCAATCCTTTGGGCTATTGCCCACAAGGCTCTTTTTGTCCATGGGATTTTTCAGAGAAGAATACTGTAGTGGGTTGCCATTTCTTCCTCCAGGGGATCTTCCTGACCCAGGGATCAAACCTGCATCTCCTTTGTCTTTTGCATTGCAGGCAGATTCTTTACACGATGAGCCATTGAGGAAACCCCTGCTGAAGCATATTCAAAAGTACAAACATTTTTAACCTTTAAATATTCCACATCATTCTAGGGTCTCTCACTGCCTTATTTTAAACCAACTCTTGCTCTCTGTGAAAAGAAAACAGTGGAATGAGGGAAGAAATTAGTTTTGAGACAGAAGAATTTTAGAATTGTAATTCTACTATTATGATAGTATTTAGAAACCTGTAAATTCTGATGGTTGTTACCATAGTAATTCTAGTCTTACCAAAGTGTGAGCTATAAGATCTATAAAGCTAAATTTTCAAAGTCTGTAAGTTTATATCTCATCATTTGGTCACAACTCTGGTGTGTCACCTGGAGAAGGAAATGGCAACCCACTCCAGTATTCTTGCCTGGAGAATCCCACGGACAGAGGAGCCTGGTGGGCTCTAGCCCGTGGGGTCACCAGAGTTGGACATGACTGGAGCGACTGAGCGCACACACACTGGTGTGTCAATCAGATTGTGCTAGCTTTGTGGTGATAACAAACAGTCCTCAAATTTCAGTGCCTTATAACAACAAATAGGTGTATTTCTCTGTCATGTTAATATGCATGTAGTTGCATGTTGGCTGTTGCTCTGTCTCATGCTTGTCTCATCCTGAATCCAGGCTGAAGGATCAGCCTCTATCTGGGCTGGGGCACACTGTTCTCCTAGCAGAGGGGAAATGGCAATAGCAGAATCACAGAGAGGCCCTTAAGGCTTCTGCATGGAAGCCGCTACTTCCACTTACTTTTCTTTGGCCAAGTCTGACGTCAATGGGAATGGGTAAATAGAATCACATCGCAAGGAGGGACAGTGAATAACTGGGACAGAAATATATTCTGCCCTTGTGGAAGGTGGTGTAGCTTGATTATGATATTATTAAGGAACCATTATGATGAATCTCAGAGGACATTTTAATCTTGGAAGCCTCATAGTAGGGGAAGTTTGATTTAAGCAAATGTTAAAAAATAAAATAAAAATAATAGCTTTAGCCCCCTTTCTAGAAATTTGTAATTGTTAGTTATGTATTAAGTAAAATCTTCTTGACAAAGATATTTTACAGTTAGAGGTTTCTAAACCCAGGTTGAGTGACAGTTGACATGCTATGTACTAAACTGTTTTTCAGTGAGAAGCATTTCAGATGAAGATGACAGTGTTGGGCAACCCAATGAGTACAACCTGAATGACAGCTTTATAGATGATGAGGAAGAAGGATACGAGCCAACAGACGAAGATTCCGACTGGGAACCAGAAAAGGAAGACCTAGAGAAGGAAGATATGGAAGGGCTTTTGAAAGAAGCAAAAAAGTTTATGAAAAGAAAAAAGTGACTCCTCTGCCGTAATATATGGCTCATATTTTACTGTTTCTTTATGGAAAGATAATTCAGGAAGCACTTAAGGGATAATTGTTTTTCTGCTTTTTATGGCTACAACTTTACTGTTGACTCTTCACAAATGAAACATTTAAATGTCACCCTTCAGTGTAGTGGATGAAATTTGTTCTGTTGCTTTGCTTTTTCTATGTTATTTCAAACATCTGGAAATAATAAGCAGACAGAGTTAAAAAGAAATAATTGATATTTTTCAAGTACTTTATAATAAAAAATAAACATCATAGATTGCAAAAAAACACAGGTCTTTTTTCCTTTTTTCCAAAGAGTCTATCTTTATGTAGAATACTATACAAGTATAACCAGGCAGATTACGTAACTGGTGGGAAAGCATGCTTCTTTCATTCCTGTTGAAGTAATTCTTAAAGCAGAACCAGACTTTAAAAACTACCAGCCATCATATAATGGCTATTATTTTTTCTAATGTCCTAGATGTGAGCTTTGCAATTTCATTGACTACTTTCATTCTTTGAAACTTGGGGAAGTTAGTACAAAATGGATACTGAAAATAGATTCAACTAGACTACAGAAATGTCCGCCATGCAGGGAATGTTATTTTGTGTCCCAAGTCTGTAATTTACTATATGTCTGAGTTTAAAAGTAGAAAACCTGAAAGAATTTGACCATTTCTTTTTCAAACAAGTCCTGCCTGATGCTTTTAACTCTCAATATGCTATTCTTAAATTAAGAATATAGAAATTATTTTTAACCATAATTTTCTTAAATTATATTAGTTCTTTTATCCTCAGATGAGAGTATCAAGTTGTCTGCCAGCATTCAAGATTCTGGCCTTTTGTTTCAAGAAGAAACCCCTTCTTCTCCAGTTTATATAGTATAATATTTCTGCATCTCTGTTCTTGAACTCCTTTAGGCTGTGTAATACTGTTCATTTTACGTGACTTAGAATCTTTGAAATATAGTTTAGAATCTTTAATTTGGGTTTGTACAAACAGCAGTAAATACAGCTTTGAAATTGTAAATCATAAACCAAAAGTTTCCTCGTTAAGCACTAATATTTTATATTCTAAGAGGACCTAAAAATGTATGTCTTAAAAGAGCAGGACAGATTTGTAATTGTTTTCTTAGTGTTTTTAAGTTTATTTTAAAATAATTGCATAATATTAAAACTTACTTATATTACAGCAAGGAAAAGATGAATATTTTTCTATTATCTTTTATTCAAATTTTTCTCTCTGTTGTTATTTAGAAACTGATTTTCTCTTCTAATGTCCCTTTAGTCTTCAGGGCTTGACAAACCTGTGAAAAAAATTCTTTGAACTTACTTTTACTTTCACTTTGCACAAACTTAATCCTTAAAGTGTTTCTTGATCCATTCATAGATATATCCCAAAGGAATTACAAACATGTGTCCACATGAAAACTTGTACATAGTGTCCATAGAAACATCATTTGTAACAGTCAAAAAGTGGAAACACCTAAATGTCTTATCAGCTAATATGTGGATAAGCAAAATGTAGTCTATCTTTACAACCAAAGATTTTTTGGCGAAAAAAAAAGAAGTGAAGGATTGAAACATGCTACAGCATGTATAAACCTTGGAAACAGTATGGTAGGTGAAAAAAGTCAGACACAAAAGGCCACAAATTGAATAAGCTCAACTATATGAAATATCCAGAATAGGCAAATCCACAGAGACAGAAAGGGAATTGGTAGTTGCCGGGGTCTAGAGAGAAGAAGAGTATCTTTCTGAATTGATAATAATGTTCTAAAATTAGTGGTGATGGTGTCAAACTCTGTAAATATACTAAAATCCACTGAATTGTATACTTTCTATGGGGGAATTGTATGGCATATGAATTACAAATATCAAGAAGGCTATGATACGGAATACAAAAGGTGACATTAGCCTTTTAGAAAGAAAGGCATTCAATATCAGAATATAGTCTTCTTAGAAGTTACATGATAGCTCATGTTAATTTTTAAGAATAATTTGATGTGCCTTTCATAAACATCCTAAAGACACTTTTGAGTATAACTAATGTGTAAATATTTAATTTCATTGTAATCAAAATTTTCTACTTGGACTATATTTAAGTCTATGATTTTCAAAATAGAGGCAAAAGTGATGAAATTGGTCGGCTCAAAAGCATTGCTAACAAAACTTGATTTAGTTGCTGTCCTAAACAGTGGATTGAGAGCCAACTGTCCTTATCATGGTATTCATAGAATTTAAACTATATGCTAACCTCCTCCTTCAAGCTAAGAATGGTCACATACCCTTTTCTCACTAATGTGCTTAATTCTAAAAGCAAATGTCTTTTGCCGACGTCTTGAAGTGAGGTGGGTTTTCTGGGACCTTGGGAAGCTGGAGACATGAAGATTTTCAGTGACACATGGGTACTGATTCTGCTTTTCACCCAGGTTGAGGATGACATTGTTGATACTATTTCTAGAGCTAGAAGATCCTAATGATTGTAAACATTCATTATAATGAGAAGAAATAGATTGTGAGCGTAATTTTTCCAGAATGGTGATGTAAAGGTAAATGGATAGTGACTTTCTTCTGATTTATCTGTGCAAAGTTCAGTGTCACCCACACATCCCATGGAGGCAGAAACCACACACCAACGTGCTACATCTAGCCCTGCTCTTTGAGTCCACCTTCTTGTTCCCATTACTTTCTCTTTCTTGAGGAGGAATCTGTAAGAGACTGTCTGTGTGTGTGTGTGTTCTTCCTGCCAGTCTGCAAACCTACAAAGCTGCTTCTTCACAGTAGATATTGAAAGAAAAATAATAAAGAATAATTATTGCTGAGATCGTTACTGGACATCCTGATATAATGTACACAATAAATTTGATTATCATAAGAAACCACAGTTGTACTCTGTTGTGCCCAAGACCCTGTCTTAGGTGCTGGTGATTCAAAGAAGAATAACATGGAGTTTCCGTTTTCAATGTCCTTACAGTCCACTGGGGAAGATAGGAATATTTATTTATTTGATAACAGTGACTACCAAATACTATGGAGAATACAAGGAAGAAAAGGACATAGCTTCTACAATCAGAGAGCTCGCAAAGGCAATGAGGCAAATAACATAATGGGTAGAAATGCAATAGTCCGAGAAAGGAAAGCTGGAGTATAATTTAAATGGCCTGTCTTGCTGTGTATTGAAATACAGTCTCATTCTTGAGGAAGAGGCTTTGATTGAGTTGCAAGCTGACCTTGTGGATTTTTTTCATGGAACACAACTTTTATCTTCAAAAATGACTGGCAGACATACTACGGTTATTCAGAATGGAGTGTGAGGCTGGCATTTCCTCAAAAATGAACTTAGCCTATTTTTTTTTCCCAAGGAAAACAATGAACAATATATATTATAATTGTAAAAATGAGCTTTCAAACAAAAATTAGAGCTTTAGAAAACTTCGATATGTCACTGAGTTTGTTAGCTCTCCAAAACTTTAAAAACTGTTCTGATGATATTGTTGGTGATCTACTACAATGAAATGTGTCAACATTTGGAAGATATACAAAACTGAGCAAGCCAATGTTTTCTGAATGACCAATGCATATTATAAAATCAGGCATGGGTAAAAGATCCACTCAATGCATAAGATAGGCCAATGAAACTTAGTGTAACAGAGTCTGTAAAGTTCATTAATATGACTTCAGATTGTGTCTAACACATTGTGCCTAACACATTTCAGAAGCTGCTATTTATTTTTGTTGGCCCATCGAAAATAATATTCATAATTCTCTGAAAAGCGTATGAAACTACTTCCTTTTCCAATTACATTATCTTTTTAAACCCTAATTTTCTCTATATACTTCAAGCAAAACAACATACAAGATTGAACATGAGAATCTAGCTGTCTTCTATTAAGCCAGGCATTAAAGAACTTACAGAAATGTGAAGCAGTGCCACTCATTTTACTAAATTAAAAGATTATCATAAAATATATTATTTGTGTTTATATATAATGGATTATTTTTAAAAATAGCAAATAAATTTCTCAATTGTAATTACAAAAAAGGTGAGTATCTATAGATATGACCCTCATAAATGAAAGCTCCTTGGGTCCTCAATAATTTTTATGAGTTAAATCTTAAGTCTCAACATTTTGAGAACCATTTAATTAAGTCACTGTACCAATCAGTGTCAGATTTTATTTTCTTGGGCTTCAAAATCACTGCAGATGGTGACTATAGCTATGAAATTAAAAGATGCTTGCTCCTTGGAAGGAAAGCTGTGACAAACCTAGACAGTGTATTAAAAAGCAGAGACATTAATGAAAAAGGTCTGTCTAGTCAAAGGTATGTTTTTTCCATTAGTCATGTATGAGTATTAGAGTTGGACCATAAAGAAGGCTTAGTGCCAAAGAATTGATGCTTTTGAATTGTGGTGCTGGAGAAGATTCTTGAGAGTCCCTTAGATAGCAAGGAGATCAAACCCGTCAATCCTAAAGGAAATCAACCCTGAATATTCACTGAAAGGACTGATGTTGAAGCTGAAACTGTAGTACTTATGCCACCTGATGTGAAGAGCTGACTCATTGGAAAAGACCCTAATGTTGGAAAGATTGAAGTCAAAAGTGGAAGGGATGGCAGAGGATGAGATGGTTAGATAGCATGGCTGACTCAGTGGACAGGAATTTGAGCAAACTCCAGGAGATAGTGGAAGACAGAGGAGCCTGGTATGCTACAGTTCATGAGGTTGCAATGAGTTGGACATGACTTAGCAACTGAATAACAACAACCGCCATTCATTTAGGCTAGTTGTGGTGGGATAACCCCCAGATCACAGTGCCTTAACACAAGGAAAGTTTTCTTAAGCCAAGATTTTGTGTTGGGTGAATCCTCAGGCCACTGTCTATCATGTGGCAGCTCATCACTCCAGGATTTTGGGAGCTCTGTCATCTTGTAATTGCACCACTGGAACATGAGACTTTACCAATCATGACTACAAGGGGAATAGA